TAACCGTTGACTCGAATTATTTTCAAAGCTGAACTTCTTTAGTACCTGTTTAGATCACATGCTATGGTATCGTAAAAGGGTGATAACAAAGAACTGTAGTAACGAAACCACTAACGAAGAAGGAAATCACGTGATAAACAAAGCATCAGACATATTTCCAATAAATAATAGTTTCGTAGCAAATTTAAAAATACACTTTGTCAGAAAAATTCTAAGAAAATCGATACATGTGTTGTTTACAGGCACAAATGAAAATTTAAACATTGTTTTTCTATACGATTTTCACTATACATACTATGTAATGAAACATGTCAATTATAAAATAGTTTTCATCTAAAAATTGTTGAAATATAGTGCAGATAGAATTATAATCGTGAAAGTCAATCTAACTATTCGGTTAGGAGTGAGCTGTATAATAGGTTGCAGGAGCTGCCGACTGATTGTCCTCTGTGTTGTTAGAAGTTGCAAACTAAGTAAGGTTGTGCCTGACTATATTAAGGAGTCAATAACATGGCGGTTTAAAACACATGTCGCAAAAGAAGCCATTCAGCTTGAAAATACTCATACCAGTCCAGTAAAGTATAGATGATACACAGCTATTTAAACATTGGATCTCTCTGTGCATATATGTATATTTCAGCATGGGCATGTCCGAACCAGTTGTTTCTCTGTTTGTTAAATTTATTTTGCTAGGATATTTCTATTAATCTTGAGCTTATCTTAATGAACCCACAGTTAACATTAATTATCGTTTAAATCGTTTTATGTTTTACTATGGTTACAATTACAGCTTCTTAGTACGTTTAAAACACAGTACAGCTGCTATAACAGTTTCTCTATCATAGAAAACATACAACTACTTACTATCACGACAACCACCTTCACATGCTCCAACGTCGATTTCGACTTCAAAAGTTGAGTTTTCGAATAAAAGAACACGATGAGAAACTCTGGAGCATTTTTCACGTTTTGAAACACAATGGCAGCTATCTACAACCTCGATGTCTACTGGGCCTGTCTGAAAATGCTGTGTCTGGATTTTGGTAAGCAGCGGTCGACAAACATCTGTTCTGTTCTGTTTGTGATACAACTTCATCAACAATATTTTCGTAAGAGCTAGCATTGTAAGATTATAAAGTGCTCTGATAACATAACTGACTCTAATGACAAAATATACAAAAACAGACAAAAAAGTTTTTATTAATAGTGTTACAAATTCGGAATGTTAAATAGCAACCTTTCGCGTAATCAGTTTCAGGAACTATAAGATAACCATAAGTGAATCCGTTAATAAGTAATAATTATAAACAAACCGTTCTAGACTATTCTTTTGTAATCTTAACTGAGTGTACGCGCCAATTTGCTTGAATGGCGGTCAGTACAAACTGCATTTTAAGTCCAAAGTTTTTGTAATTTGTTTATGTTTCTTCTTTTGAGTAAATTAAAAATTGAAAAAGAAATTCGAATTATAAAGATTAACATTTAGAAAACAGCACTAAATTCTCTCGCTTGTTGTTGTTGTTGTTTTGTGTTTCTAGCGAAAAATATCTTGAAAAGTTTTATTACTCCTATTACTTATAATGTTCAGTCCGTTTTGGACACATTGTAAGATCAAGTTCCGAGCTCTTTATTTAATGAAACTATATATTTAGCTCCCTATGTTAATTAAGCATGCTCAAAATTCACTCTTAATTATTGTATCTTGTACAATAGCATAAAAAATTAGGCTTACGAACGTTTCCGCATGTTTAAGCTTGTGGCTATATAAGATACGAAAGGTAATTATTCTTAACAAACTTGATGGCGAGGAACCCACTTTGAGACTAGCAAAGTTTGGATATGGCTGGTGGAGGTAATGGAAAAAAAATTATAACAACAAATGTTCAACCTTTAGACAAGATTTTGTCTGCCATCTTGTTACATCTGCGAGGGTTTTCAATTTAAAAATTATCTTGTTATTTTGCCATAGATTTTGAAGATTATCTTTCAACAAGATTTTGTCATCATTGGGAACATTTGTTACTATTTTAAACTCGAAATAAAGTTTACTTCGATTTTAGCATAGTAGATAGAGACAATCTCTTCATGAAACAATCTAAGAAATATATTTCTTCTTTGCTTAACATTTATTTATCAATGGACCTATGCTGTGATTGTTTCTAGAAAAACATACATTATTTTTTTTAGTTGTATCTTTAAGGGCTAAGATGAAAATACAAATTCACTGCCCTTTTGGAAACTGAAAACTTTAATGCTTAGAAGAATGAAAACAAAGTTTTGGACTTAATACAGTTATATTTTTGAATCAGAAACTAACTTATTTTGATTATGATACTAATTTTTATTTACATAAATTACTTTTGGAGCAAGGACACATTTCTTTGAAAGATATATAGAAACTCGGTGATTTTTTGCTTTTAATGACTGAAAGAAAAAGAAGTTAAAACAACCAAAGTTACAAGATAAACTACGAATAGGTAAGTAGCGTGCAGAAAAAACGCTTGGAAAAACTATTTAGATATCTTGTCATTATTTATTTCCATAAACATACTATTTCAGTCTGTTCTATCTCTGAATATGCGCAATTATGTTTAGTGTCCATATATTGTACAATTGTTTTGAAATTGTAAATGATTTTTAGAATTATCACTTCGTTAAAAACCAGAATAGCTTACCTGCAAAACGTCGAGACCCCTAAGAGTGGAGAACAATTGTTTTACTATGGTACCGTTGCCATGTCGATGATGATGATGATTATGACGCTTGCAAGTGTGTTGGCAACGTCCAATATCAACATATCGTTCAACGCCAGTGATATCTGAAAAAAAAAATTATAATTCCAGTACAATGTCATTCGGATGAAATTTGTTTGTAATCCATAATTTGGAGTTTAACCTGGAGAAAGTTACCAAATGTTTCGTACCTGGTTGTTGTCTTTGTTTTTCACATTTTTTGCATGTTTCAAGCATCTAACTTAAATATCTTAAGCGACTTCTAACGTGTATGTCACCTTATTCCATTTACAAGGGCTTTCAAGGTTATCTTTTTACATATACAGGGGTTTCCAAGATTATCTTGCTACACCTACATGAGTGTTTAGGGTTATCTTTTTATAATTACGGGCGTTTCACGATCACATTGTTACATTTACAAAGTATTTTAAGATCATCTTATTGTCATATGTATAGAATTTTCAGAATTGTATTGCTACAATTATAGTTTGCCCTTTTTTCAAAATTGTGTTGTTAAATCTACGGGATTTCAGAATCATCTTCTTATATTTACAGGGGTTTTCAAAATCCTATTGTTACATCTACAGGTGATTAAACGATTATCTTGTTACATCTACGGGATTTTTAAATATTAACTTCTATCTATAGAAATTTTCAATATCCTCTTGTTAAATTTTTTTAAGGATACTCTTGTTAACTATATAGGAATTTCAACATTATATTGTTAAATATAGGGGAATTTTTAACATTATCGACAATTCAGCTGATAAAAATCAGTGAAGGGACCTTTGAAAAGCAGTGATATTTTAGGTATTAACGTGAAGGTGTTTCTATATAATTAGTCAATCTAAAAATGTTTTGTCCTGTGTATATCCATAAAATAAAAACTCTTTTATAATTATTTTATAATCTTTTTCACTGTAATTAATATCCAAGGTGTTTCCGCTGTGCCACTGGGGGGCGCAAAAAAAGATGTCTTTAGACTTTAACTTCATGATATCGAAAGATTTTGTCGTCTTATAATTAAAGAGTTTATTTGTTGGCCAAATATCAGTTACCTAATGCTTATTTAATAATTCGAAGCTGTATTACATAGTTTCGAAGCGCTGATTTTTATAAGTTTTCCAAATATTTTTCTATGTTTATCTATACGTGTTTTTGTGATGAAATGTAAAAAAAAATCTAAGGTTATATTTTTTGAGATAGATGAATAAAGATGACTGGGAATTCAAAATGATGATTCCGAGGAATCCTTGTTGGACTGAATGTCACCCACGATTATCGTTTGTGGTTTTTATTTCTAAGCTATCTGTTTTACTTTTTTTATTTCTTCATTTAGCTTTAATTTTGAATTATTCGGCCAACAGCTGAGAAGTTTTAGCATCTACTCTTTCATTTACTACTGATTTGGTTGGAAAACATCTTTAATCTGGCAAACATTTATAAAAACAGCTATTTCAATCAACTAAGCAATATTATTATAATTTATTAGATTATTTTCTATTAGATGTATACAAGTAGAACATACTACTTTTTTTCAAAGACAAAACACCTGTTTGGAAGTAATCCAAATATCTTACTTGGAGTCAGCAAGAAACTTGGCTTCAAGACAAACTCCAAATTTCCTGAATCGTTTCTAATTATTAATGACTTGTTGATATCATACTTTTGATCATTAAGCTGCCATGGATAATTTATGGACAGTAGCCAAATTGTTCAAGTTACCTGAAGAAAATCTCTGAATTCATAAAAATGGATTAAGCTTCATTATTAAAAATTTATAACACATTTCACGACACGTAATTTTTCTCCTTCTTCCCAATAAAAGGTGTGACAATCTTATATGCCAAGCGTGATTTCACGCCCACATTGTACGTGTTGACACAAATGAACAATGAGCACAATTCTTGTTACGGAGTGTTTTCTCATTCCAAACATTTAATTACTTGGAAGGTGTTTCATCAGGAGTCTAATAAGAACAACCGGGTGGAATTGCATCATTTTTCCAACAGCCAGCTCATGGTTAGTCACTTGAACCGATGGCATCAAGTTAAATAATGCTAATAACCTGTGCAATAAATGACCTACGACAAACTATCATAAAGTAGAATCCCCGAACTCGTTTACAAAACATGTAAAAACAAATGGCTAGCTATCGAATCACTCGCTCCTCCCTCTAAAGAAGTAAAGTCCTTGACACATCCCAACTGATAACTGTGCTAATATCTATACACGTCAAGGTATTCAGAGCAACCAACTAGACCTTACCTTGATTCGCTCCTCAGTAGCATTTGAAGTTTTATTCCAGATCCATTCATAAAAAGACTCCATGAAAGCCATCCTAAAACAGGACTTGGAACATTGACACTCCTCAATGACCTCCACACACTTCGCCCCTAAAACGAGAAACATGAGTTTCTAAATTGAATTTGGAAAATTCAAGTTTTCCTAATAGTAATTTCGGATGCAACACTTAGTAATTTATCTATGTACTTTCCTCTCTTTCCAGATACAAGAATGAATTCATAGATTGGTTTCTGTAATTACTAAACGGTAGAAAATGTTTATAATAGGTTAAAATAGATAACATTGTGTTAAATTATACAATAAAGAAGATAACCTAAAGTTTGAGGTGTTTAACCATAAGTGACAAGAAGTAACTTCCGCTTATCACATTTTTATTGAACTTAATTATCATACTTTATTATCAGCTAGGAACATATTTTCTCATACCATTTGGCCCCTCTACGCTGACAGAACGGTTTCTCAGAGGTAAACAACGATAGCCTGAAATTGTGGAAAAAAATAATATGATAATAATGTGATTCAGATCATCTTCAAAATCTCGAAGTTGTGTCAATGAACAACTTGTTAATATCTAATATCTATACTTATTGCTTCTTCTCCTCTCTTTACCCCCCCCTCCAGTGGCACAGCGGTATGTCTGCACACTTACAGTGCTAGAAACCGGGTTTCGATACTCGTGGTTGGCACAGCACAAATAGCCCATTGTGTAGCTTTGTGTTTAACTACAAACAGCAATTTTTAAACATCACTGAAAAACATCAAAAATATTTAATTGCTGGTTTAAAATTCTTTCTTTTTCGGAATCAGTTGTAGATAAGTAAGAGAGTACAAAGAGGTTGATAATAATTCGTTAAAGAAATAATTAATTAAAGTACATTGTTTTGAAAGCGACAGTGGATATATATTTTTCTGTTAGATGTTCTAATGTTCCTATGTTTATACAGTATGTTGCTTCAGTACGCTCAATCCTTGCTTTTACAACACGAAAAGTTTGACTAGTGTGATGCGGATAGCAAATTCCGAGTATTCGGATAGGACAGTGTAACACCCTCGTGCAGATTTACTCCTTTTCATCATGATGTACTAATATTTAAAAGAGAAAAAAAAGGCAGATTAAGTTAAGTTTTACGTCAATAGAGATTCCATATCTTTTTGTAATCCTACCTCTTACAATATTCACGAAACCAAAACGAATTTAATCGCTGAGTTCAAAGAGGATTTAACATAGAGAACTTTTCTTAATCTGCCATTGTTCGACATATAATAAAAACGTAAATTGAAAATGTAAATTTTTTGCTTACGTGTTTTCAATATTATTGCATAATTTAATTAAACTTAATTTGCTAGATTTTTTATGATTATTTTTGAACTTGTCTGGGCACCAAGTAGTGGCCGTGGAAAGACATGATAATAAGCTCTATTCTCAAACATTATGCAGAATATTATTTTCGATATATAGCTCCCTCTAGTGGCAAATGAGCACAACCAAAGCTCAGCCTCTTAAAATTTATCATCCCTGAGCCCCATATACCGAAAATCAGTATTTTGTATTTAACTATCCCTGATGTCTGCGGACTTACAACGCAAGAAACCGGATTTCGATACCCGTGGTGGGCAGAGCACAGATACACCTTTGTGTAACTTTGTGCTTAACTTCAATCAAACAAACAAAGCTTCACTATAATATGTGATATGTGTATTATATTGCTTCTTGTATGCGAGTAGGTGCTTCGTCCATTGAGAACGAGTGTGAATGAAAATATTTTATTAGTTTAACCTACATTTAGTGAATGCTTAACTAACAATAATGGAAGATGCTAAAGTAATTGGCTTGGAATTTCGACATCACATATAATTCTTCAGGATATTCTTGTAGTGTAAAATTTTAACCGTATCAGTAAGCAGTGGCATAGGCAAGTCGTTAAAGTTGCCTGGGCACCATCAGGATATGCTCCCGTTGCAGACAGCACTTTGTTCTGATCTCTCTGTATCTATGTATATACAACCTATCTGAATGTGAGGCCAAATAAGTATATTAAATGTATAATGCCCTGGCATTACACCAAAACACAGCATTTTATAAGCAACTAGCCAGGTTATCCGTGATACGCTCGGGGAGTATTTAATCTCATCAACTAGATAATATACTTAACCCATCGTTTGTGGCTTGTGTAAATCTGCCTACCATCCCATGCGCAAAGATTCGCGAATTTTTGCGGTGATCCATTCAAAATGTTGTGCGCAAAATGCTTGCATCAGATGATGTCAACCGCAGTTGAAGGGTTAATTACGTACTAACCCACCAGTTCGTTGATTGTTTGTTGTTCTTCACACCTACTGCAATAAACTTGTTTTTTACGCGTCAGTTCCTTTATAGGTCGAGAACTTATCATCACTCGTCAAGGCATTAGCCCGGCCAAGCCCAGCCTTGACAACGCCCTGTCTACAAGTTGAGAAAGTATGGAGAAGCAACGACAACTCGACACTATGCCAAATAAAGAAGAAAAACTTCGTAGGCCAATATTTTCTCATGCGTTCAGTTTCCTAATTTCGGTTTTGCGCTGTTGTAGTTTATGTATTAGGTCGTCAAGATATTACTGTCGCGTTTTGACAACAACAACAACAACAAAACCGTACATCACGTATAATAGTTAAACGAACCGCCTAAACGTCACGTTATTGTAGCCTATATAATGTGTAAAGTTTAGTATAGTCTAATCCTTTATAGTGATGGCACACGACGAGACACACATTCTGCATGTTGTGTTGTT